ATATAACATCTGGCAATTGGATCTGCCTAAAAACGACCAAAATTGCTTATGTGACTTTAGCAAAAATCAATTTTCAGTACAAGGAATCCTTATCAGGTTTCCAATTAAGAAGAAGAAGTCTCAGCTGATGGACTAGATATCAAAATGTGCAAGGGTAACCGAAGAGTTGGTACAATCCCCTAGGAAATATCAAAACATTATAACTTGACATTGAGTTTCTCTAATACCTACATTAGTTTGCCATTTTTAAAGATACGTTATTATTGGGTAATTCGTTTGTTCCTGGAGTTTTACGCCCACTTTCACCAAGGGTGATATCGTAGACAATTGTAATTGGAGTGATAAATATCCTTATGAACTTATATTTCATATATATTTAATCATGAACATAGTTAACCGTTAACTAGGTGAATAGTACTAATAATGATACATTCTATAATCCTTTGTTTGCTTAAGTTTTTACATCTCTCCGCGATAACTCCGTTTGATTCGTGGCATTGCGAGATTAAACCCATCAGACAGACTCAATGTCAAATTATAAAGTTTTGATATTTCCTAGGGGATTATACCAACTCTACAGTTTCCCAGGACCAAATATCAAAATGTACAATGGAAACTGTAGGAAAATATAAAACATTATAAATTGACATTATAAACTAGGATAGCACACGTGACAAGGTATTGATCCTGATTAGCACTTTATAATTTGAATAGATCGCAATCGTTCTTAAAAAAGGCAACATCATGATCTGAATCGGTAAGCCCGCAATCAACACGTCTTGTTAAGTATAACACGATTTCATCTTTTCTAATTTTAACTTTGCATAATATCTAGACTTTTGATCTACAAAATGATTAAAGAAACCCTATCAATCAACCAGGATCTAATACAACTTAAAGGGAAGTCATCCTTTATTTTTTTATCATTTACGATCTAAGTTCTTTTGAACTCTTTAAATACTATCGCCCTGGACAGTTTTCTATAGGCAAGTTACTTTCTCGTGTTAGGTTAAATAACTACCATTATCACACTTAAATTGCAAAGTTAACTCTCAGAAAACACTTTGATGCCCACTGCGTGTTTCTGTGTAGAACAAATGTAGACGTGAATAACAAGCCGAATTGCAATCCCCAAGTGGTTTGGAAGAGGGTCGAACTTTCGTTTAGTCATAGATTGATAACTGCTTTTTAGTCACAGACTGATAATGTTTTGGGAAGCATTCATGAAACTGAATCGGGCTCTTTAAAGTACAAGTAATCTGTTTATAAATAAAATCACTATGCGTATCAAAAGATTCGTTAATCCGTCTTAGCCTCGATATTTCTTTTCAGAACGACCTCGATATTTTTATTCGACTGAAATCTGTATATGCCAGTATAACATCATAATCTTACATAAATGCATTAAATTCCCATTTTGAACTGTCAGTAACTCTCGCTTTTCATAGACGATACCTCGTCTGTGCATAAATTCTTCTGTTAAATTAACATGGCAAACAAAATGAAAGTCTAATCTGTACTAGCCTCCAAAGTAGATTGTCAAAACAGAAATAAAAGTGACCAGTAATAGATTATTCTTGACATCTATATGTATTGAATACTGAAACGTTTCTTGACTGATTTTAGAGCATTTAGGGTTAGACTACTTTTTTTATACATTTCATCGATATGGTTACTTCAAATACTTGTAAAGTTGAATTTTACTACATGTGTAGCATATAGCAGATCATGACTCATGCTGGAATTGCACAATGGTTTCTTTGGGTTGTATTACTGATTGTTTTCAAATTTGAGTGAAATCTGTGTCACTACAGACTCGGGACTGTACAGCGCAGTGGACGCTTACGGCTAGCCCCTGGATCCATTCACTTTATTTGAATTTTCTGTCTGTGTTTTCCTGAGTATAATGTCTTGTCCGCGTAGTTGTTTTTGTGTAAATTTTGTGTGGTGCAGTCCCCCTGCACTTACTATTAAAGTATCTTTTAGTTTTCTTCATTTTATTATGACATAAATTGGTATGGTTTTCCACTTAGATTCATTGAGGGAAATTGGTTCGATCCCGATGTTTGCCGAGAAAGTTGCTCCGGACAGAGGGCATGTCAATGACAAAGTCTAGTCTTTCGAATGAAACGTCAACACCGCGGTCCACCCGTGCACTTGTTTGCGTACACGTGAAATATTCATTGATACTTGGAATTGTAGGCAAAGACCTCGCTGCCCTGAACACTATTCCAGTATCCATATACCACCAGTCTCCATTAGCCAGAAAAAGATTGCGTTAAATCGTATTTCATTTCGTAAAGAATTCTGATATTAATAAAGCTATAAAAATCAGCACTGTGTACGTAATTTAATTGAGCTTCATCGTGATCTCTATTATCACGATAAAAACATCAAAGTTTATTTATCTCTGTCGAAATCATATAAAACTTGACAGGGATTTATTTGATGTATGTGTAACCTTTTTAAATTCTTAATTGTGTAACAAATTACAGCTAATTATTACACCTCAAATGGTTTCTGATGTGATAAATAACAATTATTGCGAGGTACACAAAAGCTCTCATTCAAAAAAGATGCATCACGATTTCCCTGACCGAACTTACATTGTGACAACGACCTCTAAAATTAGAAGGGTATCAGATGATTTGCAAAGATTTCTGGGTCAATCCTGCTTTCAAAAGATCCGACATTATTTAGGAAGATGAAGAGTTTATTAAAGTGCCACACGATAAACATTTACACATTATCATTATTCAATTAAAAACTTGATTTAAAAGAACATTGCCCGACCATAGTGGTCTATGGGACACTAGATATAGCTATACATTTCTAAAATACAGATGTATTAAATAAAACATCATAATTATTATAAAATAATACCATATATCTTTTAAAAACTGGGACCTCCTTTGAAACAAGTCAAATAATAAAATTGAATATTGTGCTGAAGTTGATATCACTAGAACAAATGCTAAGACGTATAGAAATTTACACCCACCTGTCTCATGCATTTCTTTAAAAGGTCCATAACGGAGGTCGGAATACATTTTGTATTCAATTAAAAGATGGGATTCTGTCTCAATTTCTTAGCAGAAGGGACATAATCGACAAATTGGGGTGGGGGGCTGTATCTTAGTTTTTCGATCATAAGGTCAGAGCTTCTACTGCATGCGTAACAACGACGTAGCTTTAAGTACATGGCGTGGGAGACAATTAATTAAAACATGAGGTTCGGGTTTCAAATCCTTTAAAACCAAACGATGGTTTGTTTTATTTTTAATTTGTTGCTATTAGGTGTTTCCCTGTCATTCAATAAGTCTTGGAACCATTTACTCCCATCAGTTTGGAATGGGTGACGTTTTAAAGCTTTTAAATCGCTACTTATTTATAGATTCGACATTAGATATATGACTAATTTTGAGAATTTTTATCAGGGCGTGAAAATTCTTTTCCCAAGATTTAGCCATGATCAATTTCTAATAATAACAGATAATCTGCTACTAGATAAACTTTTCAAATGACAAAATAATCTCAGTACTTCTGTTCTCTGTTTCTTCAAGCACGAAGTCCATCCCATATCACCTCTAGCTGCTACATTTCGGCTGTTTGGTTTAAGACTTAGCATGCTCGAATTTGGACACGGTTCAATTTAAGGTGCTCAATAATTCCCTAAATCCCCGCCCTTAGAGTGATGGGTTGAAATAAAGATTAGAAGTATCTAGTAAATTTACCACAAATCCTCATGTCTGGAAGTGTTTTGAACAAAGGGCGACTAGAGCTCTGCTTGCTGATTTGGATAGCTCATTAACACATAATTTAAAATTCAGATGCTCATGCAGTCATAATCCCAAGTACATATAGCTTTTACAATAATCAATATTAAATTTCCAATAGTAAATATTCTATCCGATAATTGCCATGTAGATGCTCTAAAATGTACAATTTTAATCTTTGACTGATTTACAAACACCATTTGTAGCAACAGGAGTTAATTTCATTTAGTATGGTTTGCAATTTGTCTTCTGACGGTGCAATTAAAGCGATGTCGTAAAATTCCAACATTGCAAGTATCAATATCAACGCCACATTTTAATTATTCAACCTCTTTGGCTGATAGAGTCGGTCCGCGGTATGTACATTTCCATAAAAACAAAAGTATGGTATACATTTCCCAACAAAAAGACAAGTGATTTAGCGTACGTAACTAAATGGTAGCTAGCCTGTTATCCTCTCCGCAGGTAGCGTGTCTTTAATGTTCAGAATGGCGATTTAGACCACTAAACTGTAATACAATTATGTTTCGATGAGCGTATTTTAACCATAACCAATTAGCTCACAATAACACCAATTAGCACCCACTTAACATCTTCTGTGTATGTATACAAATGTATGTAATTTCTGATCTTTTAGAGGCATTTAGTAACTGGATAGAGCAATAAACTATAACACATACTTATGGAAGAACAATTACTGATTTATTTCTGTAACATCATCGAGGTTGCTGTTAATTTGCATTCTTTTAAAGCCGATGTCGACAAAATAAACCAAAAATTAAAATAAAATTGGTGAGTATAGAATTTTTCTCAATCACTGATCGAAATAACGCACCATATCAACCCACGGTTATACCTTATTTTGTCCCAACCAGAGGAGTTTAGATCCTTGAAATCAAAATTAAACAGTTAAAAAAAAAGGTTGATACATTCATTCCCATCTCATATTGCCACTCTCTATATATTTATTAGGACATAAGTACGCCCCTAGTAAAACTTCACACATAAAATATTTTGATACAATCATACAAGTCACATATTCTTACATAAATATTGTTGCTCATACAAAGTCAGCAAAATACTTTTCCGTGTGAAATCTGACATCCAAGATATGATTTCAAAGGACATTGTCTAAATTATTTTGTTTTTTTAAAATTATTGAAAATGAAATTTGAACCATTTATAATAAAACAACAAATAAGACCTTTAAGTTTAAAGCCTTACCTTCATCGGAATCCTGTCTTGAAAGTGATGGCACCAAACTTTGTGCTCGTTTACGTTCCAAAACAGCAGGAGGAACCCAAAACTTTTCACTTGTATCATTTGTCGGAGAGCTGGGACTTGATCCCATTTTTTTCACGTAAATCATCCATTCAGTCTTTAAGCTACTAGATCTCATTCCACGACCTTTTCCTGACATCAGGCCAGCCTTTGACCCTTCTGACAAGAGCGGTCCCAGAGTTCCGTTGTCATATTCCTCAAGCAATGTCTTTTGGTACCAATTGAGACGATGTCGCTTAGTACAATAGATGTATAGTAGTAGTACGGCGAGTAGGATCACCACAGCTGGCACGACAATATACACAGCTATAAGATAGCCAGAAGTTGACGAACGGCTCATTTTGATTATCGAATTACCTCCCCTCACAACAAGCGCCGCCTCTTGAAGCTTCCTTAGTAACACCTATCGTGTGTTCAATGTGACATTATTAATAGAACATTCAATTATTAATTTTATGAAAAGTTTTAGGTGTTGATAACGAAGTTTACCCCGCCTATGATAACTTATGGTATCTGCATTCCTAATGGCTTTCTCTTAAATTTTCTTGTGCATAGTAATCTTCATTGACATCCATAAGACGAACTGTATTCCTGGAATTTGAAGAGATAAGAAAACATTGACGAATGTGATAACTTAAAAACAAAACAGCACACAACAAACATTTACTCGTAATTTTTAACAAATACGCTTGATTTAACAGCTTAAAAAAATCATTTTCTGTATTTTTTTTAGATGCCGAAACCTGTAATCCTGTTTAAGCTGGCTTGGTGTAATACATGTTATTGCGAATGTATATATCATTTGTAATAAAAGGGTTAAGTATCTAGTAGGACATTAATAGTTCGCTGGTTTTCCTAATTTGAAGGGAAGGTCATATAAGACATAGTTTATTATCATTATCTGTGATCAAATTTATAGCCCACCTTCGATACGAGCTTGAAATTATTAAGACATGCGAGTCATTATACCATAAATTCACCCATGGCTTTAGTAATCGGGAAACGTTCCTGGCTTTGATGACAAGAGACTTTGAGAATCTTCTCATATTATTCTGAAATAATGACTAGCCATTATGAGCACACAGTCTATAATTAGTGGACAAACTGACAATGGCTCAGAAAACTAGATGATAATCAAGCTTGAAAGAGACCTGGCAGATTTTCGTGGTTCTTTTCTTGTCTTTAAATAGCCCGGGAATTGATTTTTGTGTCGTCAAGAACGTGTTAGCTTCATGTGCTTATTAGGGCTGACAACGTGTTCTTAAGTGGAAAGCGTTTCGCAGTTCATCATAGCCACATTAACCCTGCCTATAAAAAAATCTATAAATTTTACGCTTTCTTTGGCCGTGTTCCTGAGTCGTTAATTGTGATGTTGGTTCAGTGAACAGTCAAGTTATTATCCTCACTATATTATCTCCCCTTTTCGATCAGTGGTAACGTATCCAGATTTCTGTCATTTTCAGTTTGCTTTTCAGTGGTAGTTCCTCAGCTATGTATATTGAACTGGAATGTTACTCATATTACCCGTTAGGGAGCCGCGGTAATCCAGGGTTGCCGTGATTCCAGAAAAATCGGAGTCTCTTGGAAGGGACATACATCAGAACGTTTGCGTGCATGTAAAATAACCGTTGACAAGTGGAATTCGTTAAACCCCATTTCATTTTCAGTGGAATTCGATATAAAAAAAGAGAGTAGGCGCTACAACACTGCCCGACCATCATTATTTATCCCCCTTAGCATTGTAAACGGTATGTTAGTCTCAAAATGATGGAAGTATTTTGTTGACGAGAAATGAAATCCCATTCCCTTCCTTACCCTTAGGTTAAATGACTAAAAGAGGTTTGTACCAAACCAAGTTTTTTGCTACAAATTTCTTTCACTGAATTTGAAATATGGGTGATTGGGCATTGTTGAAATTTGTCACTCATAGGGTATGCTTAAATGGATGTTAGGAATTGTTGATCTTTGAAAACGAAATCCAGAGATTCGTATACTTAAAATGTTATAGCTTTCTGAAATATTCTAAGCTTACAATTGAGTAGGAACGATGTACCGCGAGATTAAGACTTTAAATATCGGTCTGGTCATAGTCCCAAAACTTTATGTTTGGTCTCACAATTGAAAGTGTTTAAACTTGTTTGTAAGAGAGGGGTTTTAAGTCGGTTCACCAATATCACATTCAGATAGCCTGAATAAAAATATTGTTAAAAAAAGTTCTTCAACACATCACAGGTAAAAACCGAATATTCGATGTTTCGATTTTTTTTTATATCTAAGTTCTCCAACCCTTTCACTATATAACTAACTCATTCAATAATTTACACTTTTTAGAAATTCTATAATACACAAAATGGGCCGATATTTTAACATTATACTCTGGATTTCGTTTATTTTAAGCATACACAACTTTTGAAAAATATAAGACAGTTTGTGATACAGTGTTCTCGAATGAGTACCGGTAAAACTGAAAATTTGTTGCACAATATACATTGTGTAGTGACCGGATCATAATTTATATTGTATATCTTCAGAAACGCGTATAAATCGAATACCGAGCTGGCATGAACATATTAAAAGAAATGTTAATTATATATAAATGAAGGGTATTTAAGATTATTTTAGGTTTTAATCCTAATCGTAGCTGCCTTGAGTCAGGGAGTAAAGCGATGGTTCACTAACCAGGTGGTACGATGCTCGATCTGGGCGTTGGCCGAGAAATTTCAGTGGAATTTCCCAGCATGGTCGTCTTGGAAATGAGTCATGTCTAGTCGTTCGGTGGGACGAAAAAATAAACGAGGTCCGGTGTACACATAAAAAAAACCTTTGACAGCTGGTATTCGAAATAAGAGCCGTAGAGTCTCTGTTCGTCCATATCGTCGGTGCAGAAAAGTAGGTTGTTAGACCCCATTTCATATTTCAATCAAAATCTATAGGTTTTGTTTGGACTGGCGACGTTGATGTGTTTTTTTTAACCTGAAAGACATGTCGTCTTTAAAACAGCACTTGGAATATCTTTCGGCAAAATGGGTGAAACAACAAAGTTAATGGCCTGTGAAATAATCTGGAAACTGGTGGTAGTCCCAAGACGCCACGGTACTTAATATCGAACAGCGTAACTTTGCGATATGACTAAAGTGGGTCTTTATGGCTAAGATTATATAAGTAAAAACTATAATCAATTATATTACCGAGAAAATCTATAAACTATTCTTCTTACAAAACAATGCGTATTAATGATTCACACTTATCAGTAGTGTCTATTCGCTAGGCCGCTACAATTACTGAGAGGGATGACATCGGTGCGGCTTAATGAGCTCGCGATATTAACTGTTTTCCATCTGTAAATTAAATTCTAAAACATTTTTTTTGAAGTATTAGTAAAATAAATAAAGGTGTTTGAAGTATATTTAGATAAAAGAATATTTCCTATTTAGTGTAAGTGGGTATATAAAATGTGTAAAGGCACCATTCTGCCCCGACCTATTAACGCAACACCGTCTTATGTAAGCAATGCATTGGCTATAGAGTCAATGATGGAGGCCTCGTGATAAGACGTCACCTGTAGAAGGCATACTTGCACTTGTAAAGGTCAGTCACCTAATACAGAGGTATAAGAAGGCTTTAACAATACCTCTATGAAACAGATTGACTATGAGTCTCTAGAAACTATTAAACATTTTAATGTTTTAATCATGACAGACGCAATAGCTGACATTAAGTTACAGCCGACATCCATCCCTGATCACTCTATGTTGATCTGGGAGATATAAATTAAACCAACATGATGTAATATGTCCTGGTTATAGTGTAAAACGGTACCAACTCCGTGATATCTCAGATGACTTTCTATCATTCAGAAACATGGACCCATTATTGTAGGAAAAGATAACAGAAATAGAGGATAACCGGCAATGCCAGAAAGATGTCCAGCGTGCTCATAGTGACTTTCTGGAATTGATAAAAACCGAAATGGATAACAGAATACCTTGTAAGAAAACATTCGCCCCCAATTGTGCTATCAAGACAAACAAACGAGCTAGAAAGCCTTGATGGAATGACGAACTTGCTGCACAGTGGAATCATGCGCAGAACTGTGTCAAGTTGTGGTTAAAATCAAATTCTCACGTTAATAAAGGGAAATTAAAATCGGAATTTTGTCAAGCTAGGAAGTGTTTTGATCAATTACATAGAAAAGTAATGAGATAATATCGCCAAAAGCTACAAGATGAGCTATTTGAGTGTACCAATAGTTCAGAATTTTGGAAGACAATCTGTCAAATAGGTATCTCAAATTAAAGACAGAACAAGATACCCTGGGCGGTTATTAATGAGGATGGTAGACTCGTTACTGATAAGGAAAGTGTCCTAAATAGGTGGCAAGCAGACTTTAATACTATCCTAAATAATAGACCTACTGATACAACATCCCCCGATACCACAAAATTCGCTGCGGATCTCTCCCCATTACCGTTATGCGACAGAAAATGTGTTTTAATGACACATTTGCGCTATTTAACTTATTTGCTATAGTGATACCCTGGATGGAAATATTCAGTTGACGATTAATAGTTCCCGAAACAAAATACTACCGATGCTCGTAGGGCCAGTTATCTTCTAAAAAATTAGAGCATAAAAGTAGAGATAATAAGGGAATAGTGACAAAACTTGACCAGTTGACAATTCTAACACTGTTGTCTTATGATTTCTTTTTCTTATATCGCTTCAAAAATATTATAACCCTTCAACAATAGATGTAAAAAAACAGCGGCTGCCAATCAGAAAGTTATTGTCTGAAATACGCAAATAACAAAAGGGACTGGGATTTCTGGAATATAAAGAGATGTTTTAAGTTTCATCAAAATCGGATAAAAATTGTGACCTCTAGCGTGGGGGGGGGGGGGGGCTTCCAATATCGCCGACTCACCAGAATTTGGAATGTCGACCGCGGCACTCTTTGATGGGTTAACAACGGATTAAAAGCGTTGGTGAGGCAAGGACCAATCATTATTGATATAATTCACTTAAATTGATTTTTATCAGAATTCAACTCACACACTAATTAATAAAAGGAATATAGTTCACTTAAATTACATCAACTTGAATTTTGTCAGAATTCAACTCACTCATTAATTAGTAAAATAATAGGCTACAGTTCAACATGAAACTGGCAGGTGATCGAAATTCAGTTCATTGTGATTATTTCTCATAATAAGTAATACGTAAATCATTCCAGGACATTTCATATTCATTTCTTTCTACGATGGCTAATGCACAGTTACAATCTAAGTTTATTCCAAAACAGCAAAAGAGAAATAATAACGACTTAGTGATATGGCAGTGCTGTGAAAATGACAAATATAGACAACTGGCCGTCTATATAGTTACGCAATGGTTAGGCGGCCAATGTACACAAATACAATGGAACCACCACCAAACCACGCGAAGAACCAACAACTCTTTAGAGGGGTGGCACGGACGCCTAAAAATTTAATTGGA